TGTTTAGATCCATTTACCAGATACTGTATGGACTCCTACCAATACCGTTTACAAAAACTATTTCTCAAAATTTATGACTTTTACCTTTGTTGCCAACGGTGAAAATAGGTCTAGTAAGGGAACAATCATTTAACTTCAAGGGGGGGGGGGGGGGGGGGGGTATGGTTTTTTGTCTGAGTCCGATTTTTTTTTAGTCTTTCGACGCTATCAATCAAATTATTTTTTCAAAATTTAACTGGGTAGAAATTTTCATTAAAATGAATGCTTTTATATTTGGTATACCCTTGACAATGTTGAGTTGAAGTGGATAAGCAATTTTTACAGCGGATGACCGTGAGGGCATTCCGGTGTTATGATGCCGCAAACATTTCTACCCACGTGACTTACGTTTTTGACTGATAACCGAACAAACGAGGGAAAATATGAATGCCTACTCAAATCCAATCTCATGATTAGAAAAACGAATTATTACAGAAGAGTGTCCATCATTCACTTGCACTGCACTATCATTAGAATAGTAGAATAGAATGATATACAAATGGATGAAAATTATATATAACTGTTATACAAATATCAATATAATATATAACAATAAACCAGAGTATACTGATAACAAATGATTATATATCACTACAATATAATAGTTGTAACGGTGAGGTTGAATTCCTTGTCATTTATTCATCATCCACACAGGAACTTGTCTCAGAAAAAAATATATCTATGTTTCTTAACCTAACTTTCAGGTATAGAGATGTGATTTTTTTCTGAGACATGTGCTTGTGACCATCCACCAGAACTTGCGGTCATCCGATGTTCAGTACTTCAGTACTTTGATTACATCTGCAGTGCATCCACTTCCTGTTTGCAGATAGTTTGAAATTTTAAAACACTCATTGTATAAGGTAAAGGTCGTCAAAGTTTTCTCGACTCCAATGACTTAAGGGTATTCTCTGTTATGCTTCAGTATACATGATACCTCAATCAATTGCATGCAGTGATTCAGGTACAGACACGGTATTTTTCTTATTTTAAAAACAAAAGCTCAGTTTTTTTACCAAAATAATACTTTTAGTAGGCCAATTTGCACATCTACCATGTCTACATATTATGATTAGAACGGTGCAAAATTCAATTCGTGCCCTACCCATAATTTTGTACATATTTTACCTATATACATATTTGGATTTCGCCGTGATTAGCTTTTTTGCGATGATGCGGCCTAAAGCAAACACCAATCAATCAAAAAACAACTGGGCAAAATATCGTTGGCCTGCTTTTTTGTCTCGCCTTGACGGAGTCAAAAAGCGAGACATATGTATGCTGTTTCCGGCGGCGGCGGCGGCATTAATATAAATAAGATGTGGTATGGGTGCCAATGAGACAACTCTCCATCCAAGTCACAATGTATAAAAACTTAAAAAGTAAACAATTATAGGTCTTCAACACGGAGCCTTAGCTCACACCGAACAGCAAGCTATAAAGGGCCCCAAAATGACTAGTGTAAAACAATTTAAACAGGAAAACAAACGGTCTAATCAATATAAAAAACGAGAAACGAGAAACACATATGAATTAACAATGTATTAGTTTGTGATTAGGTCTAGTTTCTTGTGAAACACTAGTTGTAGGTCAATGATATTTTGTATGCAGTTGTATAAGCATTGTCAGATCTAATTTCCGTGGAGATTATTTGGCCCTGCCCCCTCATTCATGGTCTATTGACTTTGAAACTTTTGCTTAGTTTACATGTATTAGTTTGTGATTAGGTCAGTTTATGGGGAACCACTAGTGGTAGGTCAATGATATTTGGTATGCAGTTGTATAAGAATTGGCGTATCTCATTTCCATGGAGATTATATAGCCCCACCCTCTCATCAGGGTTCATTGACTTTAAAACTTTTACAGTTTACAAATTAATGTTTGTGTTTAGGTTTGTTTAAAGGGAACGACTTATGATAAGTCAATGGTATTTGATATGCAGTTGTATTAGCATTGGCACATCTCATTTCCATTGAGATTGTTTAGCCCTGTATCTTCAGTAATGGTTCATTGACCTTCAATTTTCGCATAACTTACTTGTTAAAGTATTGCTATTTTGATTATCAAAATCACAAAAAGGCGAGACATATCTCTGTGTTAAAAGTTTAAGGATATTTTGCGTTTACAAATACAATTTCTCAAAAAAATTTTGGCAAGTTTTTTTCCAAAATCAATAGGCCAATTTTCACAAAACATAATATGCATATCTACATATTATATAAAAATAAGAAGATGGGGTATGTTTGCCGATGCGACACCTCTCAAAAAGAGACCAAAAGACACAGTAATTAACAACTATAGGTCACCGTACGGCCTTCAACAATGAGTAAAACCCATACCGCATAGTTCTTTTGTTCATACGCACTTGCGTATCTCCTACAACAGAGACTTTGACTGGTTTAGGAAATTTTTATAGACATTTTAGTATTAAACAGGATTTGCACCTCCTTTTACCAAAGGATGTTTGGGAATTTCAATTCTCAAAACTTTTACTGTGCAAAAGCTATATAATCGGTAGATGAGGGCCGCGTGATAGTGATAGGAAAGCATACGACTTAATATTAAAAAGTTGCCTCTTCATGTTCTAGTATTAGTTTTGGAAGTACATGTTCGATTTTAGCTCAGAATAAGTTTGGTTAAGATGTATTCATTTCGCTTGGTAACAATTGGTAACAATTTGCTGGCTGTAACATAGCAACTTCAATTACTGACAAGGACAATAAATCAATATTAGTTTGTATTAGGTTTTGGGCTTGCAATGGCCTTGGCTTCGAGCATCACTGAAGAGACATTAATTATGATGCGCATCTGGTGCAGTAAAATTGGTACCATAAATGTTCTTAACGACATGCTGAGGTCAATATAGATCGTTGACAAGAGGTAGATATCTATAAAATATTTCAAATTCTATAAAATCACTCAATGTCTATAAAATTTATGTATAAAGTTTGAAATGGAGATAAAATCAATAAACAAAACGAAAACAGGAGGGATTGCAATCATATTAGAAACTCTTCCCTTTTACACCATTGTGAAAATTTTCCAATAATTCGTTAAACCATAACAGTATAATTATAAAAAAACAACAATAAGAGTATGGCGGAAATATTACCAATGGTCATTAACATTAACCAGACAACAGTCAATCAATGATAAAAATAAAACTTCATGAATGGCTATGACCTCAATTGAGCAATACAAACTCCTGGAAGCCCGTAATGTGAATTGGGGAAAATTATGAAATTTCAAATTTCCGAAATCCAGCCACAAGTTCACGTGTCTGTCCCAATTCAGGGTCATCATCAGTGGGTGTCTTTTGTTATAGCTTAGTTGATAACTTTTCTTTATGTCATTTGAGAAACGTGTTGTTGAAGACAATTGTTGACCTCAAGATGTCTTTTTGTCCCCGGCCGCGCAACGCGTTCCAAGGGGGGGGATAGAAATACCGGACGTCCGTCCGTCCGGTCTTGTTAGCGCTCTCACAATTCTTGCCAGATTTTTAAAAAACTTATATCATAGGTTTATATCAACAATGTGTCGGACGAGTTCGAAATCAGTGTCGATCAATAATTTTTTTAAAGAGTTATGCCCCTTGGAAACATTAATTTTATGGAAAATTGCGTCGTTAGCGCTCTCATGTGTACAATTCTTGCCGATCAAAGATTTTTAATGAGTTATGAATATATTAAATATATCAGAAACTCTCTAAGATAATTTTAAAAAGTTTAGAAAACACATTTTTTTTAGTTATTGACCTTGCATAGAGAGAATATGTGAAACGCGGGAGACATTGGAACTCTGTTCTTTTATTGCTTTTGTGTCGTTGGTATGCTGTCTCGTTGACATATACCTCATATCTTTTTTTTTATTCATAACTATCCACCATTGACAAAAGGACATAATTTAGGTCAGATTGAACAAAGTTTTTATCTTTTATTTGTTTTGACCTGTTCGGTGACCTGGATCTTCAACAATGTGTGTCCTTTCAGTACTCGGTTTGATGGTTCTTCCCCAAGCGTAACACGGAAATAACTTTCTACCAAAAGGACATACCTTGCCAAATTGGAAATATTCTTTTGGAACTTAATCGAATGCCTGCATTTGTACATGTACATATTTAGTAAGGCGACGACCATTTGATATTTTCGGGAAAAGGGGAGGAGGTTGGAGACAGGAGGAATTTTCCGGATTGATTAATTTTTTCATCTGTTGCTACGCATGCTTATTTTTTTTCTGCGAGCGATTTTTTTTTTCCATTTTTGTACACATTTTTTCTACATTTTGAATCCTGTCTTGTGGAGTTATTTAATTTAAGTTCTTACCAGGCCAAGTTATTCACTATTCACTTTAAACCCCCCATCCCCACAGTAAATCAAATGGTCGTTCCCTAATCAAGGACATTAGTTTTTATGTAAAATTAAATCGAGCAGAATCGAAGACTGAAACATCTGATCAGGACCAAAATTAACCTCTATCTGAAATCCGAATCTATTACACTATTTTGTCAGTCGCTTGAATGTTTTTTTTTCTAGTCGGTGCTCAGTGCTGATTTGACGTGTAATATTTACTGTGCGCGAACCAAATAGGAGTATACTTTAAAATCTGTAATTGCCGATATTTTAAATTTGAACTTATATCAAAATTGGAAAAGAAAAGAACTGTACAATGCATATAATTTAAATACAACATAAATATTTAATGTAATAAACAAGAGATAGGATATACATGTACTTCTCGATTCCTATAATTTTATCGTCTTTAAATTGTTTATTTATTATCGTATTCTTCTTGTACCATTCAGTATATTCATTTGTCATTTACTAGAAGACCTTTACAACCTTTTCTATTCTCGTCTATTTGATAATAATTTTATTACTCCAGTGTACATTGTCATTGAAAACAATTAAATCAACTAAATAATGAAACAACAATTATACTTAATGTTGACCAATGATCCGACCCACTAACTGTGCTTATGTTGTATGTAAATTGAACCACCTAGTAAACAAACTCGGTGTGTATTCATTATGGAGCAGCAAATATTTTAATTTTCATTTTTCTATTGATCAAGTATTGGAACTATAGTTAATAATGGTAAGTGCTTGAATCTTAAATAAACATATTTTTTGAAATAGGCAACTTCAATCGATTTTCTGATAAAAGAGTCTGTGAAGTATAAATATTGTAACTTGACTAAACAATTGTTGCATTGCATTAAAGTATATTGGTTTTTAAAGATTTAAGTTAGTTTCAAATTGACTGCTTTTACATGGAGACTTTAAGGTAAGAAAAATCAATTTTACGCTCTTATATAAAATAACAGTGAATAAAAATGATTTTTTTTTTAAACAGACCGTCTACGTTTTCCCCACCCGATAGACAGTTTTCATACTACACGAAAAAAAAAATTCTCTTTTTTTTTGAAAATCAATTGGTAAGAACTTGAAATTCATTTGGACCAGATATTTGGGTTTTCGTATCTTTGTAACAAAATAAAAAAACCACATGCGTATAACAGAATTATAAACACCAATAAGAAATAAAAAAGGGGAAAAAAAGTGGGGTCCATGCCCCAAAGCGCCTGTAGAAAATATATATTCTAATTGTTTGGATATAGACTTTTCATAAACTATAAATCCTCTCTTCTTTACAGCTAAATGGTTGTTCTATCTTTACTCTGATATTTGTATGATATTACTTTAGTATTGGTATTTGGTTAACAGCAATAGTAGGTCCAGAATTTTCAAAAGGCTGATGACAGCTTTCAAATTCAATAAAAAAATTCAAAAAGTTTTGGCCATAAGAAAGGGGGTGTTCACTTTATACTCCCTGGATCCGATGTGGTTACGTTCAGAATCATGCTCGTCACCGTTGTGTGACGACCAGGTTGTGTGACGTCGTGGGTTCAATCCCGGCATGGTCAATCGAAAGACTTAAAAATTGGTATTGCTGCTTCTCTGTTTAGCATCTGGAATTTAGGAGTAAGAGCAAATACTGGTCGGCTCGGAGTCATGATAATGAACTAACGCATTGAAAATTAAGCTTAGCAAGGATTCATATTCATATCACATGAACATGTTTTCGCCAGAATAACGTATACTATTCGCGTGATACTATTTGCCACTAGACGTTTAACACTTATCCATCTATTAATCATTCAAAACCGAGAATGTGTTGAGGTAGTCAAGTAATAAAACGGATGTCGAGTTTATTTGATATTGAGGAATTTATTATTTATTATATTTATACAAATAGTCGGTGAACTAAGCAAATATCACTTTTGTTCTCTCAGTATTTTTCGCTAGACAAAAAGTTACATGTGTCTTACCCCGTTTCATTTTTATTGTGATGCCAGTTTGTGTTTATAAAATCAAAATTGTGTTGTCTATTTTAACATGTCTTGACTTCAAATAAAGCTTTGTGCATTTGTATTTGATTATTGTCTTCGGACTTAAGTGTAATTTTATGACCACGTTATTTTGCAGAATAACCACTCATCAGAACCTGTTATTAACTCTTACAAACATGTGAGAAGTAGTGGGTATTTGACGCCGAAATATCGATATCGAAACCCGCCAACAACGATGTCCTGGTTGGAAGATGACATCGATCTCAACGATATAGAAGGAAAGGATCGATCAAAAAGTCCCGAGCCACAACTTGATGATTTTATCCAAAAGGTTTTGCAAACCAAGAGAAATTTGATTACTCGAACAAAAGAAAAGGCATATAAAAGCGCCCTCTACCTAGCAACAAACATTGTAGAAGTAGCTTTTGAAAATGAATGGCTATATCCAATGTACATCCGCAACACAGAGAGAGAAGCTGATCTCTGTGATTTCAGAGCGGCAGATAAAAATGTTTATGTTGGACTGGTTCCTCTTAGAAAACCTATCAGAATGAACGCATTCATGGTAAATATAATTTCCGTACATGAAACTTTGGAGGAACTTAGTGCCTAATATGGCGCCTGTTTCTAGCTAAAATTACAGGATGGAATGGCTATTAATACAATGAATCAATATAGCTGAAACAAAAATATCTTCTTTTTTTTTTTTTTCGTAACAGCGTTCTTTTATGACGTTATATCGATTTCAATTTACTACCAAATCCAATGAAAACAGACCAATTTCTATTGCTTTTTAGGTCCAGAAACATATAGATCATGTGTTGACAAATAACATATCTGATCATTTCTGACTTGAATATTTAGTGTGTCCAACCCTGCGCTCTATGTTTCCTAGGTCTAAATTTGATTGAAATCCAGAACATTTTTTCGAATTTCAACAAACTCTCTAATTTTACGTTATTTGGAGTGCATTACCGTTTCATTTGAAAAATTTGACAAACATAGTTCTATTTCACTTTTTCGCATGTTTAGTTATCTACTTGAAACTATCTTAAAATAATGGACTTGATATTTGAGGGCAAATAAGGCATACCCCACAAAACAACCAACACAGAAATATATAATGTCAACATTCTAGGTGTAACCCTCGAAAATTGGCAAATCTAAAGCATCAATTCATGGGTTACTCTCGCTGTGTAATTTATGTGACGATGAAGTCGATAGTATCAATTTACTCAAATTAGTAATATATCATTTGGTCGGTATTGTTGCTTGTGGTTTATCTTTACGCCAAAATAAAATCCTCGCAATATCAAGTGACTCGTTACTGACATGGTTTAATTGATACAGCTTGTAAATATCCAGTTCACAAATATAATTAGTACTAAAACAAATGATGCTGCTCATAGTAAAGTTGACCATATATAGATGGTTTGGCGGTTCTGTTTAGACCCTTATGGTTTTTAAACTCTCAAATGTTTTATTATGTCGGCTTTCCAACTATTGTTATCGAGTGCACTTGATGAAGAATATTCCAGAATCATATGTCTCCCCTTGGAGATATTAATTATGTGGAAAATTGCATTTTAAGTGCTTTTAAGTATATATTTCTTTCAGATATGTATAAAAAGTTTTAAAGAACTAATGTTTTTTTTTGCTATTACCCGTGGATAGATAAAATATGTGCAACGCGGGGGACAATGGAACTTAATTAGTTCTTTTATTTCACCTAGCATTATTATTTTACCTAGTACTGATTTGAAGCGGTGTTTTGCTTTTACGCCAATTGACATTTGATTTGCACCAACAAAATCTTTCGTTTCCGCCACATACCATATTTCTTTTGTGCCAATTGGCATTTGATTTGCACCAACAAAATCTTTCATTTGCGCCACATACCAAACTTCTTTTGCGCCAAAATTAAACATTTGATTTGCGCCAATAATACAGGTATTCAAAATAGTATAAATAACAAATGAATTGAAAAGAAACTTTAAATAATAACTTTAAAATGCATTTTTTTTTCTCATTAGAAATCACAGTCAAGATAAAACCACAATGAAAGCACTATACGCTTCCTTATAATCTGCACTTAATCCAAGATCTTGAATTTAATGCCACCAATGTTATATACAAAATACATGTTTGATCATATAAAATATCATCCCCTATATTTTTTTCCTCTTTAGCGCAAGACTAACAAGTATTTTTTTTGATATTATGGGCTAAACTTGAATGTATATTTAGTATGGTGTTCACCACCCTAGTATTATTTGTGAATGATTTGGTTTAGATGTATGTGATAAATTTCCTGAGAAAAAAACCCTGTTTATAAGTCTTTTTCACAGGGCCCTATGTCAATCTGTGTTTCTCGTTAACAACCATCTTAAATTTCTAAACGGCACAAAAACAAAATTAGATTAGGATCATACTAGTATCATTTGTTAAAGATTAAGTGAAATTGTTTGTGAACGGAACAAAAACAAAATTAGAATAGGATCATCCTAGTATCATTTGTTAAAGTATAAGTGAAATTGTTTGAGACCATTTCTCAGAAGAAGCTATGTGTATGTATATCCAATATGGTTTTATGATATAATCTATGATTCAAACAGTGGTGGCTATCTTTGATTTTATATAGGGACCTTAAACTTAAATTAAGAGGAACACGTAGCCTTTGTTCATGTATGTATGATTTTGGATTAAATGTTTCAGACGGTTTCTGAAAAGCGCAGCTATTTGTATGTATTTCTCGTATAGTTCTATCTTAAACTATGGTTTACGATGGCAGCCATTATGGATTAGGATTGGCATCAAAAACTTAAAAATATTATGAACCATCTATGGATCTCAAGTCATTATACGCCAAGCGATTCCTCTAAAAATCTTTGAAAGTTTTGTTAATCAGTTTCTCTCTTTTTTAAAGCTCGAACTAATTAATTTTCATATATGCCGACGTTGTTCGTATCAACTTATTTATGCACAGACAATAACTTTTTGTAGGTAGCCTACAAATCCCCGGGGGATTTGCCTTCACATCGAATGCTGGTTCAGATAAACAAGAAAACCACAAAAGAAGAACGATTAAACATCGTTAATGAATGGGGACATTGTCTCGACGCAAATGGAATTTTACGACCTGACTTTGTGCTTCACTGGTTCAACAGAGGTAAGATGTGACACTGCATGAATTGATATATAATTCTTTGGACTTGTTCATTTGTCTCCTAAAATGTCTTTGGAGATTGTGTTGATGAACAAGTTTTAGCTGAATAAAAAAATTCCGTAAAAAATAAGAAAAGTAAACAAAGCTTGCTCGTTTACAAATGTAAAGGCTGTGTATCAATTACTGGAAAGTATTTGAAATAAATAAGCAGAAAATTACTAAGGATTAAAAGTTTAACTGACGTGCAGAAGACAAATTATGCTTAATCATAATTCTAAAGCAACAGTGGCACATGGAAACGAATAGAGGTCGGACGAATTTCTCCTTAATTTATTTCACACCAGGGCTATTTTCAAAAAGTCATTCCATCTTTAATTAATTGAATTCATAGTATCACACAGCCAAATGTGTGTATTTGAAAGATCTAACAATAATATGTCTTATTTCAAAACAGATCACACACAATTATAAACGACTGCATGTAGTTTAAAAATGCAATTTTGACAGGTTTAGACTTTCGAGTATTTGTCCCGAAAATGTATAAGAATTAAGGACCTTGTTAAGCGAAAATGAAAATTATGTTGGAAATTAAGCTATGTTTTGCGTCTGGCATACAAAATTTTAATCCAGGTACCTATGATGAGTTTATTTACAACCACTGGGTTGATGCCACTGCTGGTGGAGGTTTCTTGCCCGGGGGTATCACCAGCTCAGTAGTCAGCACTTTTGTGTTGACATGAATTATGATTGATATGATCATGCTTATAAATTAACTGTTACAAAACTTTGATATTTTTTAAATACTAAGAATTTTCGACCCAAGGAATAGATAACCTTGTGTGTATTTGGCAAAACCTTTCGGAATTTTGGGTTCTCAATGCTCTTCAACTTCCTACTTTATTTGGCCTTTAAATTTGTTTAATGTTTTTGATTCGAGCTTCACTAATGAGTCTTTTGTAGACGAAAAATGCGTCTGGCGCAAACATTTTTATCATGATAACTATGGTGAGTTTATTTACAATCACTGGGTAGATGCCACTGCTGGTGGAGTTTCCTCCTCGAGGGTATCATCAGCCCAGTAGTCAGGATTTCTGTGTTGACACGAACTATCATTGATGCTCTTCAACTTCGTACTTTATTTGGCTTGTTTAACTTTATTGATATGAGCGTCACGGGTGAGTCTTTTGTAGACGAAATACGTGTATGGCGTACAAATCCTGGTACCTATGATGAGTTTATTTGTCTTTCCGATACTGTACAAAGAAGTTCATTTTGGTTAGCGACGTCAATGCAAAATTTGACAAATTTCGCATCAAAATGCCGTCAACAACAACAATGTAGCGCTGCATATTGCATTTTGAATTATGAGAAGATGTTAAATTGTTGAACAATATTTTAAGTACAGGGGCGTTAGATTTAGCCGAAAATAGCAATAGGTCATCTACGTCCCTCGAAGATTTATTTTCAAGTATTCATTTTCAAGTAGAAAGTGTGACACTCTCCAAGTACGGGGCTGCTGATCTAACGTTCGCATTCCGACCAGGCGTGGCTGCGTATTTATACATCCCGCACAGTCAAAATAGATGTCACCTCTTAGACGAGAGAAGTCTTCAAACTATATTGTACCCATGGAGTATAATTTACCATATAGTACTCATAGAAATGTATCATTTACCATATTGTACCTATGGAGAGACACAAATAATAATTGATTGTTGATTTTACATTACAAAAGTGTCTCAATAGTAAACAAAAGGTATATTTACCTTTTTTTCATTAAAGAATGAGGCTTCGTTTGAGTTGCAGAAAATAAATTTGTTATCACATTTTTCAAACGAACATTTGATTAGATAGAAAAACTTTTCTTTTGTTTAATAAGATTGTGAGGAAGTGTAGAGTAGAGAGTCGAAAAGTAAAAACTGTCAACCGAACTAAAAGCACCATCAAATACATAATGCTTATTTTTTCACATAATCAGATAAGTTCATTTATATGACAATTAAATTAAGTTTGAATTTAAAAAGATTAGATTAAGGAACATATCTCCCTCAAAGCTCTGATTCCTTGCCCGGCTTTGGATATACTTTTTTTTCCTTTTTAGTTTTATATCAGCTCTTCAATTTTTAACAAGTTTTGGATTTTAAAATAATTTGGCCTCGAGCATCACTGGAAAGACATTTATTGTCGAAATGCGCATCTGGTGCTGTAAAATTGGTACCGTTTTTGTTTTTATTATGTTGTATGATATTTTTTTTTATAATTAAATTCAGAATATATCATACAAACAATAGCAAAATATTATACGGGTTTTATGATTTTCAGTCAAGTAGATATTTATTTTTCTGATATCGTAAAAGTTTATATTGTATATTTCAGGGTTGATAAAAGCTTGTGAAAAACTTGAAGTGGAAAACAAAAGAACACAGAAACTTGCCTTCCTGGAAACCAGTTTGGCTGAGGATGGTACCGTTTGGGTGCATATCATTGGTTTTGATCCTCAAGAGAATTACAAAATTAATCTGGTTCCCTGTTTTTCTCTAACAGAAGTCCCGAAACAGTTATATATAAATGCACCAATCCCAAGCAGACGACCTTATAATGACGAACAATCAAAATTCCTTCAGGATGTGCATAATGGAATAAAAGAAGGTGAAGAGATTTTGTTTTTGGAAGCAAGACTAGAAAAATGGTCCAGAGGGATGAGATGTAGTCCAACCATTGAAATAAGCTGGGGAGTACATATTGGGCAACTGGAAGATAGATCGTTTGGTTTCTTAAATACTTTGAAACCAAAAAGACTATTTGAAGATATAATCGTGCTAATAAATGCGATAAAAGAAGAACACGTCGTTTGCCTCCATGCAGTGACAAATCGAGTCATAAACCATGCTGTATTTTTTCAGTACCGAAAAAATCTTGGGAAGTTACAACAAAAGCAGGATTGGTTTTTAGCCGTGCTGAAAACAATACAGACACAACTAAATCTTAATATGTTCCCAAATTTCTTTTTACAAAAACAAAACATTTTTATGGAAAGCGATCCTCAAATATTAAAGTTTAACAAGGACGAAATTAAACGTTTGATTACTTGCATAAAAAATAACCCCGAATCTTTACTATCTTATTCCGGATGTGAGGAAGCCAAAACTGATACTGACGATTGTGAAAAGGATGATGATGAGAAAGAAAGCAGTAGTGAGAAAAATGGAGTTCATTTTTCAGACTGAAAAAAAAACAGTTGAATATGTCTCAGACTGAAAAAAAAACAGTTGAATACGTCTGAGACTGAATATGTTTAACCAAGGGAAAAGTTTTGACTGGAGGTAGTCAACAAATAACAAGTAACATATTTATATGAAAACGCAGTGATATGCGTGATTTTACGCAATGGATGCCGCTTTTGAACTGAGAGGTTACAACAAAACTTATGAGCAATAGAAGTTATGAAAATAGCGCGACGAATGTCTTATGTGTTTGCAAACACCTTCCACAAGTAGTATCATAAAAGTGCAATGATTTCAGTTGAAGCAGAATTGTAGCCTCACATTTTTCTATTTGTATAATTTCGTATTTTATTTGACTTTGACAGCTTTATATCAGTCTGTTTAGAGAACTATATTCAAATTTGATTTTCAATATAGAACGTATCTTTGAATGCTTTTAATTGTAACGGATGAAGATACGAGTTTAAAAATTTTATATGTCGCAGCTTGGGTCAAAATAATTTTTTTCTTCATGCTCTCGAAAATTCTAAGGGTTGTTTGGGGGTATAGAATATGGAAATCTCTGGACTTCTCTCGTCTGGCTTCAAATCCTTGTAAAAGTGGGACGTCCGTGTGATTGTGCTGGATTTATAAATGCGGAGCCAAGTCCGATCAGAATGAGGATGTTAAATCAATGCCTCGTGTAGCGTGATTGTCAAGCTAACTGCAAGTTCAAGAACTCCTGCAACAACCATATGAAATGCCCATAGGTGGCCTATTTCAAGGCAAAATTTCTGTCCCTATCCGACATATCCTCATTTTCCAGTGGCTGTTCAAATTTCCTACACAACATCCCGATCGTTTCAAGGTACCATAGGTTTACCCAGTGTAATTTAGATATTGATGAAAGGAAATATAATGTGAAAGACGATTTCTATGCCTGAGGGTACCAGAAGCTGATCAGGGATTTAAAAAAGGAGATTACAAACTAGGGGACTCCACAATGGGGGGACCCTTTGTGCTCTCTAGTGCGCCTCTATGAAGAATATAATAAGTATTTTAATACACAATCTGAACAAAATAATCGAATTTTACGTCTAGGTAACAAAGACAAAATTATAATGTACACTATTCAAGTACTGAAGCAGACTTTTTCGTAAAGAACAGGACAAAACACAAAAAGAATAACATCAACTACAACAATCGTAGGGTGCATAGAACAGCATTGTAATGTATTGTTGTTTTTACGAAATGTCTCATTCGCGCGTAATATAGATTAAGGCAACAGTAGTTTTAATACCAATATTCAAATCTCGTAAGTCGATTATGAGGAGACAAATCAACATAAGAAACGAAACCTGAGGTAATCGCATGAACCCCAAAAAGAGCGAATCCGTGTGCGTCGACAGTCGACAGACGACAGGGCAGGCGTCTCCTGCTATGCACGCATCATCCGCCTTGCGAATTCACATTCAGTCAAAATGTCACAATCAAGAACAGGACACAATCAGTAAAATTACAGACTCGGCGACAATAATGAATTGAGACACCGACACATCGTATCGCTTAAGGTGGTACCTAACACTTCAGGGAGATAACTCTGTAAAAATCAGCGGAACGTTTTAATCACGTTCTTTTGTTAAGGAAATATTAAGCTTCTCAGTGATCAAAATTAATGTTTGTCAAACTGCTATATATCCAATGAAATTTTTCCGATAAAGTGTGTGGTTCAAGTTTTTTTTATATTTTTGTTAAAGGGTCAAATTAATATTTTGTCAAAATTTTATGAAAATTAAACGAGCCACATTAATTTTAGTCAATGTGTTTGGTACCACCTTAATCAATTCGTGATGGGGACGATTTCAGTTGGTCTTCCTTATAACTCTGTTGGAGCAGTATAAGTGTAAGGAGCACACCCCTATCAGTGGCGTAGCTTGCATGTATACTCAGATGCTTAAGCATCCACATCATTTTACAGGCTGTTAATGAAGTCCATGTAGTGTGAACATGCACAAGCGTTACGTATTAATTGAGATGTATAAAACCATACGATGGAGCAGATGATATGTTACTGCTGAGAAATATGAAGTTGACGATTGGAAAGTTGAAATTATCACATTTGTCATAGATTCTATTTAAAGTCGTTCTTATGTTAGTATCGAGGAAAAGACCCAGATGAAGCAGACCTTTTACTTTGGTAGTATCCTTATTCTCAAGTCCACTTCAAGATATTACTAGATGTAAACACTCATTGAAATGTGGGTTATTGAGTGACAGAACATTATCAATATAATTATCTGAAAGTGAAACTAAAAAACTATAAGATGCTTTTTTTTCATTTTGTCTATGACATAGTTTCTGTATGAATTCTGATTCATATGAAATCAAAAACAAGTCGGCCAGTAGTGGTGCACCATTAATACCCACTGAAATGTCAACCCACCAAACTCAACAAATATGTTGTCGATTAAAAAGTCCAGAATTTTGATGATGTCATCTTCGGTGTATTTGTTTTTCGAATTAGTGTGGTTCTTCACAAAGTAAGATGACATAAACCAAGGAATGTGTATCTACGTTTCCCATTTTTGACGAAAAGGTACTCTTTAATGAGACGATGTAGTCGATCTTTCAATTGAGCATGGGGAATAGAAGTGTAAAGCGTAGAAAAATCAAAAGTCATTGTAGTCTCGTAAACATTTTAAAATACCCTTTCAATATAGAGTGATTTTGAATTATAATGCTGAGACTCTTGAACTCCACAAAACAAACACAATTTAGTACTGGGACTAATGAGAAATAATGATAAGTATTATTATACTGTCATACAAAACGAAACATTACATTGGATAAAATTTAATCGAGCTCAGTAAGGAGCGTATGAGATAAGTCAGATTTCACTTGGAAAAACAAGAACAAAAAATGCTTCAAATTTAAGAAATGATTAAAAACCAACAAAACAATACGATTGTCTATTTATATTGTATATATATCTTGTTACCTAACTTCTTTGTTCTTTTGTACTTTACGGTGTTGTGTTTTGTATTATGTGGTTTGTCTTTTGGTGTGATTTTTGTTGGTCTTTTTCCATGACATTTTATGTATTTTTCTGTGTTTATGTGAAATTGATATTCTAGATTAATATATATATATACAACTTAACATTATTGCATTTTAATTTGTTTAAGATTGATGCATTTTATAAATAAATATACAGTTAGTACGAGTGTCGGATACTGTTTACCCTTCCGGAGCACATTGGATCACTTCCGGGTTTTGGTGGGGTCCGTGTTGCCTTTAATTTTCTATATTGTGGTTTGTATACTGTTATTCGTTTTTGCGTGTACCCCCTGAGGGGTTCGCGCTTATATATTGGCGAGTTTTGGAAGTGTCTATGGGCCACTCGATATTCTCGGAATCACGATTCTCGGAACGTCTCGAATATTTTCCATCATTTATATAGGTAGTTATTTATGTCTTTGATACGGTCCCTCTATAGATAGGCTACAACGTGACATTTTATATTTCAACAACCCGACAAACGGTTCATTTGTAGATTTGAAAGTAAAACAATAAAGACTAGGTTGCATTCTAAAAATCATTTCTATGTTAGAACCTATTTGCCTTTTGACAAAACATATATGTTTTTAATAATGTGAATGTTTATTAAATATCAAGTATAATGCTAACGCAATTATATAATTCATGATTTGAGTGGTGATATATATACAAAGTGGTGATAGATATACAGAGTGTTGATAGATATACAGAGCGGTGATAGATATAAAGAGTAATGATCAATATACAAAGTGGTGATAGACAATAAAGTTGTAATAGATATGCAGAGTGGTGGTAGATATACAAAGTGGTGATAGATGTACAAAGTGGAGATATATATGCAGAGTGGTGGTAGATATAGAGTGGTGATAGATATACTATTGGTGATATAAATATAAAGTGGTGATAGATATGCAGAGCGGTGGTAGATATACAAAGTGGTGATAGATATACAGAGGGGAGATAGATATGCAGAGTGATGGTAGATATACAGAGTGGTGATAGATATACAGAGTGGTGATAGATATACAGAGTGGCGATAGATATACAAAGTGGTGATATATACATATAAAGTGGTGAAAGATATGAAGAGTGGTGGTAGATATACAGAGGGGTGATAGATATACAAAGTGGTTATAGATATACAGAGTGGTGATAGATATACAGAGTGGTGATAGATATAAAAAATGTGATAGATATATAAAGAGGTGATAGACTGTGATATGCAGAGTGGTGGTATATATACATAGTGGTGGTAGATACACAGAGGGGTGATAGATATACAGAGTGGTGATATATATACAGAGTGGTGATAGATATGCAGAGTGGTTGTAGATATACAGAACGGTGATAGATATACAAAATGGTGATAGATATACAGAGTGGTGGTAGACATACAGAGTGTTGATAGATATACAGAGTGGTGGTAGATATACAGAGTGGTGATAGGTATACAAAGTGGTGATTGATATACAGAGTGCAGATAGATATGCAGAGTGGTGATAGATATACAGAGTGGTGATATATATACAGGATGGTGGTAGATATACATGATGGGGATAGATATACAGAGTGGTGATAGATATACAGAGTGGTGATAGATGTACAGAGTGGAGATAGATATATAGAGTGGTGATAGATATACAGAGTGGTGATGGATATACAGATTTTGGGAGAACATACAGAGTGGTGGTAGATATACAGAGTGGTGATAGATATACAAAGTGGTGATAGATATATAAATTGGTGATAGATATGCAGAGTGGTGGCAGATGTACAGAGTGGTGGTAGATATACAGAGTGTTGAAAGATATACAGAGTGGTGATAGATATACAGAGTAGTGATAGATATACAGAGTGGAGATAGATATGCAGAGTGGTGGTAGATATACAGAGTGGTGATAGATATACAGAGCGGTGATAGATATACAGAGTGGTGATAGATATACAGAGTAGAGATGGATATACAGAGTGGTGATAGATATGCAGAGTTGTGGTAGATTACAGAATGTTGATAGATATACAGAGTGGTGATAGATATACAGAGTAGTGATAGATATACAGAGTGGTGATAGATATACAGAGTGGTGATAGTTATAGTAGGAACTTGTTGAATGTCTTATAGTGAAAAAGTTGAGATTGAACGATAAACAACATTTTGTGCAACAATACTTTCTTAAGTTATATGTATCTTTGTATACAACGTAGCAGATGTGGATTGATTTCCAATGAGATAACTATATATTACAGACTAAAGAATACCAGTGCGCAAATGCTGAAATGTCTCGTCTGCTTTACTTATGATAGTATATTTGTTGAACTTCTGTAATATTAAGGGTTTTACTAGAAGTGTCACATACGCTTAAAATTGTCAATGATTCATAAAAAAGGTCAAGGT